GAACGCTGTTCCAATGTCCCCATGCCCTGGCCCTGGCCCTCCTGTGGGGACAGTCTGGGTGGACGCAGGCCAGGCAGGGTCCTGCAGACCCGCGCATACTACCCCTCACAGTCAGCGCTCAGGTCTGAGTCTCTGTTCGCTCTTCTTGACGGGGGGCGGGGAGTGGGGCACCCCCAGCCCAGCTCTCTGTGCCTGTACACGCTGCTGATCTCACCAGGGCTCCATGGCGGCCGCTCCCCCATCCCTGAGGGGGTGTCCCACACCATCATAGCCAGCCGAGGGCACCCCCCTACCCACACACAAATGCACACACGCATGGACACACAGACACACATGTGCACTCATGCACACACAGTGGACAGTGGGCAGCTTGGCCACCAGCATGCTTGCGTGTGCGCAAGTGCGCACACACAGGGCATGCAAGCCAGCTCACAGACGCACACCCACATGGGAGACAGGGTTGGGGTGCCCCCTGGTGGCCATCCTGCGAACACTTCGTCCCAGTGGAAGGTCAGGCATGCTGGCCTCTCTTCCCTGGGACACACGGCCCTCCCTGGTGGCACCCAGACTCCCATCCAAGCTCTGTCCCTCGCCAAAGCTCACAGACCACCTGCGGTGAGCACATGTGGCACCAGGTTAAAGCCCTGGCAGGTCCCCGCGCATCGCAGGACCTGAGTTCCCCAGTGTGGCCCCCATAGCAGTCGTGGCCTGGGTGTGGGCCAAGTGGCCGGTGTCCTGTCCACATAGCCTGGGTCCTGTGAGAGGGCCACGTGGCCTCTGTCGAAGGTACAGAATTGCTCCTGTCTGTCTCTGTCCTTCTGCCCGTCCTGCCCATGGGATGTCCACCAAGATCTCATCCAGTCTCCCTGCACTTGACCAGGAACCTCAGGGACGTGGCCACTCCACGGGTCATCCAGCACGGGCGCACCTGGCCCTGGCCTGGCCACCCCCTGCCCCCCCCCGCATCCAGCCTGCATCCCAGCCCTCATCCCGGCCCTCTCCCGCGCCTGCTCCCGACCTGGGCTGGCCGAGCTGCAGAGCTGACAGTGGGACGTGGGAGGGAGCAGCCAGGCCCAGAGCCTCAGGGGCGGTCTCCAAGCTCACGTGTGGCCTCGGGAAGGGCCGCGCTTCCCTGGCACCTCCGGGGATGGCACAGCCGCTCAAGGGACAAGCCTCTGGCGCCTGCCCACGCTTGGGGGCCCCCCCGTGCCCCAAGTCAGCAGAAGAGGCCGGAGGGCACAGCCCCCCGTGGGCTCTGCCCCTCCCCGTCACCGGCACCCACTTCCCCACTGCCCGGGCCTACGCTTGCCGGTCGGTGAGGGAGACCCTCAGCTTCCGGCGGTTCCCCCTGAGAAGTCCCAGGTCTGCCCGGCTCCCTGCATGGCCACCAGGGGGCGCCCGCCACGTGCCTGTAGTACCCAGGACGCCCCAGACCCAGCCTGAGACTGTCACCAAGGCATGGTTCCGCAAAGCTGCTGCCCTGCTCCTCAGGGTGCCTGCACACACCTCAGGCTGGGCCCCCTGCCGAGTGCCCGCTGCCAGGCTGCGAAGGGGAGCGGTTCTCAGACCCAGCACCAGCAAGGACCTCCTAGGGGAGGCGGCAGCAGTAAGGAGGGCTTCCCGGTGGAGGCAGTGCCTGCCTACACAGAGGCTACAGCTTCTGGGGGCCAGAGAGACCCTCCCTGCACCTCCTCAGGGGCTGCAGAGGGGTCGAGCACAGGCACCGTTGTCCCGCCCAGGCTCAGCCACAGTCTGGCCGCCCAGGGCTTACTTAGGTGCCTGTCTCCTCTGCACACACCGTCTGAGTGCAGCCCCCACGGCCCAGTGCCTTCTGCCTCCCTGGACGTGCCAGGTGTGCTGGGAGCTGCTGGACCGGACATCCTCACCCCATCCGCCAGGGGCCTGCAGGAGGGGGCTCGGCCTGGGACCACCCTGGAGTCCAGCCTGGAGCGACCAGGAGTCTTGCAGACCCCACCTGGTCGGGAGACTGCGCCCACCTAGGACCCAGATGCTCTTGTCCTTGTGGGTCCCCCCGGTCCCCCTAAATCATGAGCCCATTACCGGGTCCACCCACCATCCCCCAAGAGCCCCACTGCCACCAACTCCACTGGGAAAGTGGGGAGACCGAGGCACGAGAGGCGAGCAGGGAAACGGAGGCAGGACTCCTCCAGAAATCAATCTGCTGTTAGAACTCAGGTATGCAGGTTTTGAGACTGAGGTCTCCAGGCTGCCTCCCCCCACCCCTCTGTACCGTCGGAGTCCGGCAGTCACAGTCCCCCAACGCCACCGCCCAGTTCACAGTTTAACTCTGGCTGCATCGCTGTGTTAAAAACTGTGGACTTCTTGGGGGCTGGAGTGATAGCACAGCAGGTAGGGCGTTTGCCTTGCACGCGGCCGACCCGGGATCGATTCCCAGCATCCTATATGGTCCCCCGGGCACCACCAGGGGCAATTCCTGAGTACATGAGCCAGGAGTGACCCCTGTGCATTGCCGGGTGTGACCCAAAAAGCAAAAAATAAAAACAAAAAAAACTGTGGACTTCCTGGAGCCACATCCCAAACTTCACGTCACTGATAAACCAGGAGTAGCAGGAGGAGCTCAGCAGGATGACGGAGGTAGCGTGGAAACGTCCAGTCTCAATGGACAGAACGCGAACACAGAAGGCTGAACCCGGCTCAGCACCGAGGAACCTCCATCAGCAGGGGCTTAGCGGCTCCACGGTGAGATTCGGCAACCTTCACTAACGTCCTCTAAGAAAACATGTTTTGATCATTCTGTTAGCAAGTTATTTGTGAGCAGCAATATTAAATAAACCGTTGCGGGCCTGCTGTCCCCAGAGGCCTAAGTGGCGACTGGGAGAATCGGCGACAACGGCGGAGATGAGCCGCAATGGCGGTGGGGTTGGTGTTGGAACACTGAGCGCCTGTAACAAATCGCCATGAACAACTTTGTAAAATTAAATAAACATTTGTTTTCTTAAAAAAGAAGCCGAGCCATGAGAAGCAAGCGGGGAAACTGAGGCACGAGGCATGCTGCGGGAGTGGGGTCTTGAGTCCACGGAGAAGCAGGCTTCAGTCACGGCAAGGACTCACAGAGACGGGCTGAGCGCCGGGCCCCTGGCCCCGACTCCACGCGGGCGAGGCACGAGTCACACCGCACGGCCGCGCCATGCCCCAGCCGGGTCGGAGGCCGGGCGCCGAGGCCAGGGCTGCCGCTGTCCGGTCCGCGGTTCTGCCCAGAGGCTGCTCAAGGCGTCTCTGTGGGTGCTGGTCCCTGAGGTCCGAGGCGGGACAGCCTGCCCGACCCCAGGGGCTCGGGTCCTTCCGAGAAACCAGGGACTCACTGCAGATGCCCCCCACAGCAGCTCCTGCGGCCTCGTACCCCTGCAGAGGCAAATACGGACACACCCACAGGGCGTCGTTGGCTCGGGGGCAAAGCAGCCACCTCTGCGGCCATGTCCTCCCCACTCGCTGTCCCTGATCCTACAACCGCCTTCAGGTGAAGGATGACCACAGGCCCAGGAGCAGGAAGCCGAGAGCCCCCCAGGGAGCAACCAGAGAGAAGCTGGGCTGTTGCCCTGCCCTGCCAGACGCACAGTCTGACGGTGAAGGCGCGGGGACCAGTGCCCCCGTGAGCACTGTGCTCCAGGTCAGGCGGGGTGCCGGGCCTCTGACCCGGCTGGGGCATGGCGCGGCCGTGCAATGTGACTCATGCCTCGCCCGGCATGGAGTCGGATCCAGGGGCTCGGCGCTCAGCGCCTCTCCGCGAGTTCTTGCTGTGACTGAAGCCTGCTTCTCCGTGGACTCAAGACCCCACTCCCTTATCTCTCTGCAGATCTGGAGCCAGGGCGGGGTGTCGGCAGCAGGGACAGAGCCGCTGGTCCCCGTGACCCGGCCGGAGCAGGTCCAGCGGGGCTGGCTGGACAATTCCCCCCACAGAGTGGGAGCCGGGGTCCCGCTGCGGCTGGGGCACTCCTGGGGGCCAGGCAAGGTGGACCTGGCCAGTCGTGGGGCACCTGCTCCCAGCGCCCTCCACACACACAGCCCCAGAAGCCGGCTGCCCCGGCACCCCTGGGGCAGCACCCTGCCTCTTCCTGAGGCGCCCCCACCCCCTTTCCCAGCCGGAAGTGCCCTGAGTAGCCCCAAACATGGTCTTAGGGGGCAGCACCGCCCCCGCCTGGCTCTGGAGGGCAGTGCTAGGGCCCAGGCAGCAGTGCTGGACTGAGACCCCAAGAGCCACCCCAGGAGCCAGAGCCAGCCAGGGCCCAGCTGGCAGGCCCTTCCCTGAGCACCGCCCAGAGCACGTGTATGCGTGTGTGCATGTGTGGGTGTGTGCGTGTGCACGTGTCTGCATGGGTGTATGTATGTGAGCATTGTGTGCACACACAAGGACGTGAGCATGTATGTGTGTATACGTGTGAGTGCATGCAAGTGCATGTATGTATGTTCATGGCTTGGCCGGCCCCATCCCAGGACAGCGTGGTGGCACCCCAGTGTGGGGGGAGGCGTCCTCCCCTCCACTGGCACCACAGAGCCCGTCCTGCCCTGCCTCCCTTGCTCGGGGTCTCACCGTGGGCCCCTGGGGAGAGACCGGGCTTGGCGGGCCTCTCCCAAGGCCCTCAGCTGGGGCTGGGCACCACACCACGTGCTCCCCACACTGGTGCCTGGGGAGGGGGGAGGAGCTGGGAAGGGGCTTGGCAGAGACCCCCCCCCTTGAAGGGCAGGCACAGTGGGGACCGCGGGGAGCTTGCACCTACTCCACGGGCCTCTGCCAGGAGGGCCCTGGGCACCCGCCCTGTGCGCAGATGCGGGGGCTTTCCTGCCCCCCTCCCACACACACAGAGGCGCCCAGGCCCAGTCCCTGGCTGACTCCAGTCGCCAGCGCAGTTCCCCCTCTCTTCCCGCCCAGGCCCGCAGGGTCACGTGGCAGAGGGCTGACCCCGCGGGGAGGGAGCCGAGGCCTGGACGGTGGGGGCGGGACGGGGAGGGGCGGCGCGCACCGACGCGCCCGAGATCCCCGAGCGCAGCACAGCGCAGCGCAGCGCCGGGCCGGTCCGCATCCCGCCTGCCCGCGTCCTGGCCAGCTGGTGAGTGCGCCCAGCCGGCTGTCCCCGCCCGCCTCCCGCCGCCTCTGCGCCTCTCCCAGTGCCGAGGGCCGGGCGGGGACCGCCCTGACCCAGGGGACCCCGCGACTGAGGAGTCGCCCTGAACCCCGGGGGTCCCGCGTCCCCATGTCTGGGAGCCGCCCTGACCTCCGGGACCCCACGGGCTGGGGAGCCGCCCTGAACCCAAGGACCCCACGGCTGGGAGCCGCCCTGACCCAGGGGACCCCGCGGCTGGGGAGTCGCCCTGACCCCCGGGGGTCCCCAGCCGCCCTCATCCCGGCTGTGCCCCGCGCGCCGTAGCTGAGCACCTCGCACCCGGATGCGCTGGGCCCCGTGCCCAGAGACCCGCCCCAGGAGCCCCACGGGCCCCACGAAGGCGGCGGAGCTGCGGCATCGGCTGGGCTGGGCCCCCGCGGGTGGCCGAACGGCGGCGACCGCGACGTGTCCCCTGTGCAGGTGGCGGCCGCGCCCGAGATGTACCGGAGCCTGACCCTGGGCACCAGCCCCGGCCCGGCCGCCTTCGCCGACTCGGGCGCGTTCCTGGTGCCGCCCGCGCGCGTCCCCCCGATGTTGCCCTACCTGCCCACGTGCGAGCCAGGCCCGCAGCCGTCCGCGCTGGCCGCACACCCGGGCTGGGCGCCCCCCGCGCCCGCGGACCCTCCGGCCTTCGCCTGCAGAAGCCCGAACCCGCCGTCCGCGCAGCCTCCGGGGACCGGCGCCTTCAGCCTCGCGCACAGTCCGCCAGGGCCCGGCGGGGGCCGCGGAGACGGAGGCTCCTACCCGGACCAGCATTCCCGGCCCGTGGGCGCCCCTTACCCCACTCCCTACCCCGCCTACGTGGGCTCCGAGGTGGCCCCAGCCTGGGCCTCGGGGCCGTTCGACGGCAGCGTCCTGCGCGGCCACCCGGGCCGCAGAACCGCCTTCGGTGAGCGCGCGCCGGAGCGTGCGGGTCGTGGCCGGGCGCGCGCGGAGCCGGGGTGCACCGTGGGGCTGGGGTCGGAGCTGAGGCAGGGGCGCGGGGCTGGGGCTGGGGCCCGGGAAGTGCACGGGGCTGGGGCGCGGATTGGGGCAGAGGCTGGGGCGTGGGGCCGTGGCCGGGGTGCGGGGCGCGGGGCCGGGGAGCGGGGCTGGGCTGGGGCTGGGGCCCGACGTGCGCCCAAGGACCCGGACGTAGCGCAGCCATCTGTCCCAGGTGGACCGTAGTGCGCAGACCCCGCATTCTAGGAACTGCGCCGACCAAACCGACAGCCCTCCCCCCTCCCGGCTCTTTGGATAAGGGGCACCTTTGTGGCTCTCATCCTTGAACCCCTCGCTCGCTCGTTCTGGGTGGCGTCTGCTGAGAGCCCGTGCTGAGACAGTCCTATGAAGTTTTGGAAATGATTTTTTTTTCTTTTTGGGTCACACCCCACAATGCACAAAGGTTGCTCCTGGCTCTGCACTCAGGAATTACTCCTGGCTGTGCTCAGGGGACCATATGGAATGTTGGGAATTGAACCCGGGTCGGCCGCGTGCAAGGCAAACGCCTTACCCGATCACTCCAGCCCCAGGAAATTATTTCCTTTAAAGTTCCAAATACTGGTTTATTATTGGAAGCCATGGGAGTGTGGTCTAGAATGTTCCTTTATTCTATTCTGAGGCCTGGTTTCAGTCACTCCCAGCAACTCCGGGGTCTGAGTTTGGGAAACAGGGTCCAGACCTCACAGATGCCCCAGTTTCCCCCGCCCAGCAGAATCCTACAAGGACCCCTGTCCTCCCTCCCCGCTTCCCCCAGGAAGCACGGCTGGCCTTTGCAGGAGACCAACTCCGGGCGCCCACCCCCCGGGGAGCCCCTACCAGCCCATCAGCACCCCTGCCCAGGGCACCCATCTGCCCCGACACTTCGGGGGAGCTGGGTCAGACCCACGCTGAGCCCTTTACGTCTTCCCCTTCCCTGCCACTCTTACCCCTTGGGGCCTCCTGCGTCCCCCAGATATGGCGAGGTCGGCTCCTGCTGGCAGCCCTGGGATCGCGCACACTGACAATGGTCAGATGAGACCTGAGGGCCAAGCGGTCGAGGCCTCCTGCCATGCAGGCTCAGGAGGTCCGGGGCCCACGGGCTGCCTGTCCCTGCAGTGTCCGACTTCCTGGAGGAATTCCCGGGGGAGGGCCGGGAGTGTGTCAACTGCGGCGCACTGTCCACGCCTTTGTGGCGCAGGGACGGCACCGGCCACTACCTGTGCAATGCCTGTGGCCTCTACCACAAGGTCAACGGAGTCAACCGACCTCTGGTGCGGCCACACAAGCGCTTGGTGAGTGCCACTGGGGGACGGGGCAGGCTGTGGGCGGGGCCTGGGCGAATATAATATGGGCGGAGCCTGGGAGGGGCAGGGCTTGCGGGTGGGGTATGGGCAGGTGTGGATGGGGTCTGGGTGGGCGGGGCCTCAGGGCTGCTCTAACTCAGCGGGGGGCGGGGGGGGCTGGGCCCACCCCAGCACCATCTCCCCATCTTCACAGGGGCCCCCTGAAGCCTGACCTGCTTCTGGGCTGGTCTCACTTCTGCTTCCTTCTGGCCTGTGGCTGGGCAGGGAGTGGGTGGGACAGAGCAGAGTGCCCAGGGTGTGAGGGACAAACTTTGACGCTGACACTGTGGAGAGGCCGGGCTGGGAGTGGGGAGCAGGCGTGTGACCCCCAGGGGTCCCACTAGTTTGGGGCAGACCTTGCACTGGTGCCTCGTGGCCCCCAGCTACAGTCTCTTCAGACTGCGGGATTCTTGGCCACTGCCCTGCAAGGCCCGGGCTGCCCCCACCACCCCCAACGAGGCGGGCAGGTAAGTGGGGGTCAGAGGTAGGGGTCCCCTCCCTAAATCCGGCTTGGGCTGCGTGGATCTGTGTCCTTCTGGGCACTCTGCCTCTCAGGGCCCGCCGAAGCCCTCCGCTGCCTCCACCTCAGCCGGCGGAGGGTCTCCCCAGTGACGGGAACCAGGCAGAGCGGCCTTGGGCTGGGGTATTCCCTGGAGGGGGAGGGCCCGCTCCTGAGGCGCCCCCTGCCCCAGCCCCGCGGGCCACAGAACCCTACCTGGGGGGTGTGCCTATGCTCTGTCTACGGGCATGTCCAGGAGGAATTTGGAGCGCGGGGTGACCGAGGCTGGGCACGACTAGGTGTGACTAGATGCAGGACACGAGAGGGACAGAGGCCAGTTCCATGTCTCACCCCCCACCCCCCAGTGGGCTCTGGGGCCCCCTGTCACCCCCTCTTTACTGGTGGAGGGCTGGAGTGATAGCACAGCGGGTTACTGGTGGAAAGCCAGACCCAGAGCAGGGAGACCCTGCCGGAATGCCGCACACTCGGTGCGGTGGTCGGCGCCGCCCAGCCACAGCGCCCAGGCCTCCCCCCACAGTCGTCCCGGCGCGCTGGCCTCTGCTGCTCCAACTGCCACACGACCAACACGACGCTCTGGCGCCGCAATGCAGACGGCGAGCCCGTGTGCAACGCGTGTGGCCTCTACATGAAGCTGCACGGGGTGAGTGGGAGGGGCGGGGCTTGGGAGTGGGCGGGGTCTGTGGGAGCGGCAGTGCTTGGTGGACGGAGCCTTGGGGTGGGCGGGGCTATGTGGGTGGAGTCTATGGGAGGGGCCTCTGGGGCGGAGTCTAATGAGGGGCGTGTCTGTGGGAGTCTTGGGCGGGGCCTCTGTGGGCGGGGTTTATTTAGGGGCGTGTCTGTGGGTGGAGTCTTGTGGGGGTGGAGTCTATGGTAGAGCCTCTGGGCGGAGTCTGTGGGAGGGGAGGGGCTGTGTGGGTGGAGTCTATGAGCGGGGCAGGGCTCGGTGGGCAGAGTCTACGGGAAATGGGCCCCTGGGATGGAGTCTGTTGAGGGGCATGTCCTCTATAAGGAGGAGTCTGTGGGCGGGGTCTGTTGAGGGGCGTGTCCTCTATAAGGAGGAGTCTGTGGGCGGGGTCTGTTGAGGGGCGTGTCTGTGGGCGGGTCTTCTGTGGGGCGGAGCCTTGAGAGGCGGGATTTCTGTGAGGGCCTGGGTGGTGGGCGGCCACTGGAGCCCAAAAAGGCAAAGCCAGGAGAGGCTGCGCCCTGGGCCATGGAGCCTGATCAAGCCTGGCAGGGTCTGCACTGCTCCTGCTGGACCCCCTGAGGATCCTGGGCAGCTGTTCTCCAGGCAGGACTGACCTGGGGCCTGGCTCAGGGCAGGGCAGTGCCGGTCAGCCTACACATCCTCACAGGTGCCCCGGCCTCTGGCGATGAAGAAAGAGAGCATCCAGACCCGGAAGCGGAAGCCAAAGAGCCTGGGCGGGACCAAGAGCTCCCCAGGTGCCAGGCCAGGGCCCCCCAGTCCCACCCCAGCCTTGCCCCAGGGCAGGACGCTGCTCACAGCCCCCCACCCCTCGGTCAGTGTCGCCCACCAACTCTTCCCCACCTTCAGGGTCCACAGGGAACCCCGGCACCTCCCTGCCGGCCTCAACCCCCCACCCTGAGAGCTCTGTGCCCATTTTGAAACCTGATCCCAGCCTGGACTCCCCATCGTCCTGCCCCGGGCCCAGCGGCCCAGCCCAGGTGAGGCAGGCATGGCCAGTGATCCCCGGACATGACGGCCGCCCGGCAGACTGCCCCCCAGGCCCTCCGTCAGGTCACACTGCTGTCCTCCCTGCAGGCCTCTGCTCGCCTGGCCGAGCCCCTGGCCCCCGGCCACCTGGAGTTCAGCTTTGAGCCAGAAGCCTTCGTGCCCCCTGCGGCTGGCCTGGGGGGGGCCCTGCGCCAGGAAGCCTGGTGTGCTTTGGCCCTGGCCTAGCCCAGCAAGTGCGACTCCATCCCCTGAGCAGGAGCCCCCACCAGCGCACGGCGCGCGAACTCTCGTCTACTCTCGCCGCCCACCGCCCTGTCCGCGGCCTGTGGCAGGACCACGAGGCAGAAGGAGGGGGGCCGCCCAGTGTGGCCCACAGCCCCGGCTCTGCACCTCCTGGCTGGAG